TTTAATAATAAACTATACTAATATTTAATGACCCTACCATCTAGATATGGTCATTACACAGATCATGTACGGGATACCATCAAACAAGCGACCAGATGTATTTGAAGATGAAACAACCGAGTTGGAAGAAGAGAACGTCACTTTGAAAGACTTCGATGATTTAATTAGAGATATTATACACGTTTCTGAAACAGCTCATGTATTAGACGGCGGAGTTAGTATGTCATTTGGTGACATACCTTTAACCACCTTTAGTAAAACAATCATTAAGCATTTGGATGTTATTGATTTGCTTAAAAAGGAAATTAAAGAATTACAAAAGAAGAATCGACTTATTATAAGTCGATTAAGAAAAGAAGAAAACAAAGAGAAAGAGTTAGTAAAAAAGGTCAAAGAAGAGACAAAACCTCAAAGGAGGAAAACAGAATTATTATAATTCAGTTAATTTATTACTTTATTTATGTTTGTTTTATTTTTAGAAAAATGTTATTTATTTTTGTTATTGCTTTCTAAAAATAAACAAATTTGTTATTTAAACGCATAGTTAAAAAGCATTCAATTAAAGTGCTCAATGTCTGGTTCATAATAACCAGTACGAATGAGTTTGAGAAGATGAAGCAGCGGTTTAGAATCAATCAAATTAGATTCTATATCCTTCATTAAGAAATCAAGCCACAGCAACAAATATTTAGTTGGATATAAATTATACTCATGGTCCCATATACGGAACCAATAGACGAGTCCATACAGCACTATTTCAGTTGTCTCGTCAATAGCCCGAGAGAGTTGTTCTCTCACTTCTTTAGCCGTGGCTTGAATGAGGATGGATAGCTTAAGTTTGGGCTGTGTGTACTGCATTGAATGCTGATAACATTGTTAGCGGCGTTTAAATAACAAATTAAATTGTCTGTATGAGGTAAGGAGACTGTCTGTTATACTATAATTATAATAAAAGTATAATAAGATAAAAATAGAAATTGTCTGTTTTGTCTCTTTGTCTGTCAAAATTGTCTGTCTGTCTGTTTGAATGCCTACCACATCTAGATATTTAAATGGATAAGAAATGAACAAATATACGCATGGAAGCAGAAGATAAGATTACCAGTGTGAAAATGAACAATATCAAAGTCAATGAATTGAACAACTTCTTTATAGATATGTTCGAATTAAAAGACATATGCGATGATTTCGTAGAACTCTTCAAAAAAGAGGAACGGTACTACTCAAACGAGGAGAAGTACAATGAACTCTTAGAAGAAGAAGCTATAATGCTAGATAATATCCACAATTTAACAAAAGGAATAAAAGAGAACTACCAGAATGTAGTAGATGCCTTCTATGAAAGAAGACTCCATAGAATGGAAGCAAGAATGTTGAAAGCTTTCAGTGAAGTAGAAAAGAAACCAAGAAAGCCAAAAGAAGAAGATAATTAAAACTAATTAATTTCTTTTTAACGATATTTTGTTTAATTAAAAATTAAATGAAATAAATAAAAAACAAATAATAAATTAATCTTCAATGTCATTAACGAAATTGAAGTTCTCTAATAATTCTAATAAACCACCTAGTTTATTAAATCTCTCGTCTTTTCTGCAAGAATCGACGAAACCTGTAATGTAGAAGAACAGGATATCACTATAATTATAGTGAGTCTCCTCGAATCTCCTCATAAAGTACATGATAGAATAGATCAGACATTTGGAGTCTAAATCTATAGCATCATTATCGAGGAGACCTTTACAGGTTTCGTCGATGTCTTGCACTATGGATGAAAGAAGAGGGAACATGAACTGAATTAAAAAGTACCAAACTATAAATAACAAGTAAAACGTGTACTCCACAGATAAACAGACAATTCTAAAATTAAAATACTATAAAATTATTATACTTTTAATATGACAGACACTTAATATCCTCATACAGACAATTTAGAAAATTCTAACAAATATAAATAGAAATCTAATATAATCAAAAACAAACAAAAACATGTCACAACCACAAAGTAAGTATTATGAATTTAAAGCCATGCATGGCTTTGTAACCATGAACTTCGCACCGGCCCAAAGAGTACCCAGTAAAGAGACAATAAAGAGTGCCATCGAACAATGGTGCTCCACAAGAAATAAGCAGGCGCATATTAAATACATCGCTATCGGGAAGACCACTCAAGGATCCAACAAACACGTGCACGCATTCTTCGAGCTAGAAGAAGTAGCACATACAAGAAAAAGACCCTTTGTTAATATAAACGGAGAGTCCCAATTTATTAAATTTGAAAAAATAACGGAAAACAAGAATTATGACGGATCGTTTAATGCTATAATAGAATATTTAAAACGACAAAAAGAAAAACATCCCAATGAAGGAGCTATATTCGAAGAAATGGGAAAGATGGATAAAAATAAAGGCAGATTGGGGAGATATAGACATAGGAAAAGCACTTAAAATGCCAGACTTAGAAGAAGCCCATGCATTCTTAAAAAATATCAGCTTAAAAGGATACATGAATAATGTATCTAAGTTTGATAGTGTATGGGCTCAAGAACACAGTAGAGACACTACCAATAGAATAAAAATTAAATTACAACCATGGAAAGAAGATAATCCGGTTGTAAAGAATAGTAGAATATGGCTCAATTCAGCATTAAGCGGAAGAACCAAAAGAATTAAAACATTGGTAATTGTGAGTGATACTAAAATGGGGGAAAACAGAATTTGTTAATGATTTATTAAAAGATTTAAAAGTAGATGAATTCAGAGGTCGTTTTATGATGGACGGACACAATGAAAGTTTAAAATATGACATTAGACTATTCGATGATGCAAATTTAAATGATATTATTTGGCCTGAATTTAAGTCATTAATTAGTACAAGAGGAGAACAAATCACAATTAATGTGAAATATTCACACGCAAGAGTCACCTCCATTCCAACAATATTAGTACTCAATCCAGGAAGTTGGAAAGCATTACAAAAAAACAGCAAAAGAATACGAAGACTTTGACTGGCTAGAAAAGAATTCAGTAGTACTATTTACTAAAGAGAAATTATTCAAGGAGCCACCACCTAAACCACAAGTAGAACAAAATAAGAACAAATATGATGGTTTAGATCCAAAATTGGTAGAAATGTTACTAGAAAATGAAGTAGAAGAAGACGTCGAATTAGATGATATGGGAGATGACACAGTAGATGATTTAGATGATGCAGTATACCAATTAGAACAAGAGAGTCTACCTCCTCCTATAGTATTAGATCAACCAATTATAGAAGAAACACCATCAAAAAGAGTAGTTACAGATGATCACGAAATGCAGAAGAGATTCTTTGACTTAACGAAGAATGTAATAACAGAAGAAGGAAATAATAAATATATCACTGTACAAAGTGGAAAGAAAATAAGAATAGCTGATGAAGATAGTAGTGAAATAGAAGAAAGTGAAGATGATCCAGATGCTTTAGTAAACAATTGGAATACAGGTAATTTTTAATTAACTGTTTTTTATAATTCATCTTTTATTTTTTATTCAACATGAGCTATTGGTATAGACCTAATGTATTTAGAAGACGTTGGGGTAGTTATGGAAGTATAAAAAATAATTGGTATTCCAATAACTACTCATTAAATTCAATAAATGACAATTATGACCCTGATGCAGGAGATGAAGACTATACAGAAGAAGATGATGTAGATTTACATCCAAATGTATACACAGAAAATAGTTATTTTGATCCAGACAATGAACCTGAGAGAGCAAATAAACCTGATATAATAGACGAACAATACAATAAAACAGAAGAATCTCTTTTTGATGATCCAGACTATGAAGAATACAACAAAGAATTTGAAAATATTGAACAACCAAACGATGAAGAAGAACAAAATATAAAAAATGAAGAAGAAGATACTCAAGAAGAAATTGAACCAACATATGAAATAGTTAATCCAAATAATCCAGAACAAGTCTATACTTACGATGACAATACAATTAAAATACTTGATGGTATTATTGACATAAACAACGATCAAGAATTAATTAACATCCTTGATCAAGTAGACCAAGACATTAAAAAGAATAATCAGATTATAGAAAATGATATAACAGAAGAAAACATAAACGACATTCCAATAGTAATTACAAACGAAAATGATAAAGTAATACTAGCAGATAACATAAAAGAAGAAAGAATACCATCAATACTAGAACAATTAAAAGAACAACCATTACAAGAACAAATAGAAATACATAAAGATGTTAAAGATCCTGATAACTTTATAATACCACCTAAACAATATAAAGCAATAAAACCAATGGATGATGATGAAGAAGATGAAAAAAATAGAAAAAGATATAGAAAATTAGATGACTTCTTTAATGATAATTATAAGAAAAGAGGAGATGATAGTTCTTCGGATAGTGAAGATAATAGAGAAGATGGAAAAGGTAAAGTTAAATATCAAGCTAAAAGACCATTTGAAGAAAAATTAACATCAACATTCTTTAATCCACCTAGAAATAATAACTTACCACCTCAACAACCAATACAAGAGATTGTACCATATCAACAAATAATAATTAAACCAGAACAGAAAAAGAAGTCTCCCAAGAAAATACAAAATAATGATGACGTCAACGGTAATAAACCTGACGACGATTCTAAAGGTATAAAGATTAAATTAAACGAATTAGAAGAAAGAGAATTAGTATTAAAAGAAGCTAAACCTGTACCAGACTTTATACCTTTAGAATCCGTCGATATACCAAATGAAGTAGAAAATGAAGAACCAATAATAGAAGATGATGGACAAGAATTAGAATGGTATGATGACCATATGCCAGAAGAAATAAAATTAGATCCTGTACCAGAAGATGCTAAATATTGGCAGAACTTTAAACATAATTCAGAAAAGAAGAAAATAAATTATCCAATTCAATTAATTGATGATAGAACACAAGGTAATTTAGAAAGACAAGCTAAAGAATCAAGAAAACTCCAACGAAAAACAAGAAAACAAGAAAAGATCAAAAAGATGAAAGATCCTATAAATAAAATAACACAAATAAATAAATTTGTTAATAAGAAAATTAAGAAGTACTTAAAACGTCATCCTCTATTAATAGAAGAAGAAATTCCCGAAGAACTTATCGAACGATGGCAAGAAGAAGCACTTCACGATTACGATTATAGATTACTAATGTTAGAATCAGAAGTTATAATTGTACAACAACCACCTTCTACAAAAAGAAAAGAACCAATCGAAGAAAAAGAACAAAAAGAAGAGAAACCAGAAATAGAAAAAGAAGAAAACGATTACCCGTTAAATCTAATTATAGAAGAAGATAGTGAAGCAGAAATACCTATAGAACCAGTAGAACCATTAGAAGATCCTCAATTCGACTATGCCACATCAACAATTGGCGGCGAAGAAAAAGTTAGAACTAGATAATTGAGTATTTAAAGAACCCATTTAATCTGTTTAATCATACCATGACTACAAGCATTAGAGACATCATAGCCGATTTTGCTTTGGGCAAATACAAAGAAATGGAGGACGAAGAATTAATAGAAACAATGAACAAATTGATGTATATAATAGATGATCAAACATCTACCGAAGAAAAAGTAGCATTAAAGAAGCCATATTGGTCTCTCGTCTATAGAATAGCTAATAAAAAGGGCTTAATGTGGGAGTTACCAAAGAAAAAGAAAGAAATAAAGAAAGAAGAGAAAGAAGAAAAGAAACCATACAAGAATAGATTTATTATAAAAGATAAAAAAGCAGAAGAAACAAAGCCTAAAAAAGAAGATAATTAATTATTTCAAATTGTAAATATGATTTTCGTTTTGTTTATTTTCTACAAAAACTTTACGTCCATCAGGTCGCATATAAACTTTAAAAGTATCAGGATCTGTTGGACTAATTTTCAATAAAACACTGCCCCATTCATCTTCATTTTCAGAACTACCGAGACCCTTAAGATAATTAAATCCACTGCGATTAGGATCATCGGGATAAACCAATCTATCACCACCATCACGATTCCACATATAATGATTTCTCATGTATTCAATAAGATTACTCTTCTTCTCAAAGTCACTAGCTTCAAACCATCTACGACCACTTCCAATACGCTGATGAGTACACATACCATAATTAATTTTATGATAATAATCATCATTACTACCAGTAAGTAATTCCCTAGGAAGTTGAATATTCAATAATTTAGCATAACGATAAGCAGCAGCATGATCAACACTAAAATCAGTTCGAATATGACGCCTCAATTCATCAGGCAATTGTTCATAAATAAAAGTAAGACGTCGAGAATTATATTCTTCAAGATCATCAGGAAGTAGTTCACCTAAAGATTCAGGAAACAATTCAAATTCATTACCATTCTTTAAAAGCTGATTTTGATATTTAGGATCAATAACAATACCTTCACTTTCAGCAACATAATGTTCAGGAGCATAATATCGTTCACCATCTTTCTTAAGAACTCTAGCAGGAACAAAATGTAATTCATCACGTATAACAGTAGGAAGAGGAAGAGCACCATAATCTCGATCTTCTTCATACAACTTACCTAACTCCTGCTCAGTAAAAATAACATGAACATAATCCTTAACCAATGAAGGATCATCAAGCAACATTTGCTTAATAGCATCTAAATCATCATTCTTAACATTATTACCTTTAATATACTTTTCACGCATATATTTAATATTATCTTGTGTAGTATTCTTTCTAGTAGGAACATTATCACGATTTAAACGATCCTTAACACCTTTATACAAATCTTTTCCTCCTTCACCAGCAGCAGCAGTAAGAGCAGTTCCTAACAAACTACCACCGACTTTAATACCTTTATCAAACATAGCCCTAATTAAAGCAGCATCCAATTTAGCTGCAGGATTATTCTTAATGACATCTTTCAAATCTTTAGGGAAACGTTCAGAAATATCCTTAACACGATCACCAATACTATCCTTAACATCTTTCCACCAACTATCCTTCTCCTTACTAGAACTTCCCTTATCAAACAAACTATCAGTTCTATCTTCTATCTCTCTTATTTTTTTATCAACAATCTTACCTAAATCTGGATCATACTTGTCATCAATCTTAGATGGTTTCTGTGTAGGATTATTATTAGGATTAGTAGGCTTTCCCTGTTCAGGTCGATTAGGTTGTCTCGGTTTCTTTTGATCAACAGGTTGTCGATTTGCATTAGTAGGCTTTCTATCTTGTACAGGTCGTTTATTTTCAGGACGATTAGTAGGCTTATCCTTTTGAGAAGGTCTTCTATCTTGCGTGGGTCTCTTATTAGTTGGACGCTGAGGTCTATTACTATCAGGCCTTCTAGGTTTAGTCTCTTTATACCTCTTATCATAATCTCTGTTATACCTTTTATCAAATTCGTTCTTCTTATCACTTGGACTTCTATCATATACACGTTGATAAGTATATGGCTTTTTATTAACAAATTTATAATTACCATACCAACCATGAATAGAACCATAACTACCATACCGTTTCTTATGTAAATTTAAACGTGGAACACCGTATAAGTCAAAAAACATTAAATTATTAAGTTACCAAGTATTGAGTTTAAACTTCAAACCCCATGATATTGACAAGATCCAGGGCAACAGCATAAACGTGCAACAAAACCATCATCTCGAATACAACCATGCATGCAACAACATAAAACAAGTAAAGTAAAAAGAATGAACATAAGGAGTACATCATGTAAACAACTCATAATTAAAATATAAAGATTAAGATACAAATAAATTAATTAGGAATTAATACTTTTACTACATCTAACACTTCTTCTATACCATCCATAACTTGATTTTGTCTTCTACTCTCAATAAAAGCAAAAAAACACGAAGCAATAAGTAATATACATGAAAGTACTAACATAACAACTTTCCTAATTACATTCCATGTACTATCTTTGAATACCTTTTCAACACAAGACTCAGAGTGATGACAATCACTGCTTTCTGTTGACATATTATGAATTTTTAAGTTCATCTTTATATTCAAATGATACATACACGTAATAATTGTCCTGAAAATACTCATCAAGTTGAATTTTCATTTAATGTTAAAAAAAGAGTATTAATAAAAGAAAATAGAAACTTCGGAATAGATACAACTCATATATTTTATGATTTATTCAAAAACACAAACTTTAATTCCTTCTGTAAATGTTTTAAAAGAGTAAAAATAGACAAAGCATTAGCAGTATTATCCATATCTGATATTAAAATGAAAGAAATAGGACTCAACTTTCCAACTGTATCAGTTTCATGGTTCCCTACATATATAAAAACAGAAAATGAAACAACAACACCTGAAGCACAATTAAAAATGGTTCAAAATAGTAGTCATATACAACAACAAATTTATTACCCCGGTGGTGCATTTCAAATAACAACAATAATCAAAGCACAAACTATTCAAGAACAAAACTTTTATGGACCAACAAGAGTAGAAGGTTTTTGGACTTACGATGAAAATAATATATCTTGGAATCCTTATACAAATGAAAATGTAACTATCCCATTTTATCCTTGGTATATTATAGCAGTAGAAACAACAAACAAAACAAATAACGGTGAAGAAAATCAACTGATAGACTTCAATCTACAATGGTATATAACATGCTCCTTTGATAGATATATCTGCACTCCAACAGAAGATGAAGATAATGAACCTAATCCAGACATAACACTAGTAGATTTAAACTATACAATTACAAACGATGACATTAATAATAGACAGGACATAGTATTAGAACCAACTGTACATGAAGCTTATGAAAAGGTAACTTTAAAATTTCAACCAAAACAAAAACAAGTAATAACACTTCAGATAACAAATAAAACTTTAAATTAATCTTTATTATTCATTTAAATGTCTTTAGTTTCTAATACAACTCTAACATTATTAAGAAAAGAAGACACAATAAACAACACTACATTCAATGTTCATATGACAATAGATAATCCAACTATAACAACAACTAACAATGGAACCATTCAACTAACAAGTGACAATTATATTAATAATATAACATTAAAAACTAATGTAAAACCATCAAGTCAAACTAAAACAATTAATATTACAGAAAACGGTACTACTACTGTTACTCCAGATAATAATATACCGTATTTAGACTCTGTAATAATAAATACAAATGTACAACCTACAGAAGAAACAATAAGTAAAACATATACAGAAAGTGGTTATTACGAATTAAAAAAAACAGAAAATTACTACTTAAAACAAGTAAATTTGACAATTAATATACCTCAAATACTAAAAATTGATTACATACAAGACTCTTCTACATCTTACGTAATAGAACCCTCAGATTTAACAATAACAACTATACCGAACACCGAAGATTTAAATCCATTAACACCAGAAACATTAACATACGTAAACAATATAGCTTTAATAAAACCATTATCGACCGGCACAATAAAAATAAACGAAACAATGAGTTTCGATTTAACAATACTAAAACATAAAGACGGAGGACTACAAATAGAAGAAATAAAAACAGGAAATATATACCAATTCGAACCAGAAAAAAGTTATTTTTATATAATGAGAAACTGCGATATGTTAAGATTCCTAGACAGTAATAACACTCCAATGTTTGCCTCAAAAATGAAAGCATATGGTTCAACTATAGACGCCATTTATATAGATGACTCAATAACTCTGACACAATTCAAAATTAACTATTTCCCAACTTATTAAAAATTAATTTAATTATTATTAGCAATTTTAGCTTAATAATTTTCTAATAATGCTTGTCCATCATTACTATTAACTCCAGTAACAAAGCTTTGTAATGCCTTAACAACTGGATAAGCAACAGAAGCTTGATAAGTACCACTAACAGTTAAAACACTACCAGCAGCAACATCAACAGCAGCATCAGCTCCAGTAGCAGTATTTGCATACATAATAGCTGGTGAATTAGTAGTAGTACTTCCTACAGTAGTTAACAAGGCAGTAGTAACAACAGATTCAGCTGTAGCTCCACTTTGATTAGGAAGATTAACTCCATAAACACTAAATGGCGCAGAATAAACAACAAGAGTATTGTTATCAGTTGCAACATTGATTACATGTTGAGCATCATTACCATTACCACAAATAAATACACTGAAATTATAACCAGTAACACCATTACCCATAGTCATAGCAGTTCCAAATGCAATCATAACACAAGACAACTGAGTAGCTGCACCAGCTGGAATATTAATAGCAGTAGAAGCAGTACTTTGAGGAAGAACATGTACATTATTAACATCAAATAAAATAGCATCAACTTTACCAACACCTATATTATACATAACCTCATTCAAATACATCTTAAGTGCATCAACAGTCCATGAATTATTAGAAACAGAAGTAACTCCTCCTGTATTTTGTACTTGTGTAGTATAAACTGGATTACTAACTGTAACCACTCCAGCATTATTATCAACAGTCATTGAAGCAGGAATCATAGTATTATTTGTTCCACTTGCAACAGTACCTGCATTAGTACCTGCATAACCAAGTGAATTAGCATTAGGAATTGGAATAACATCAAGTGTACTCTTTCTTAATCCTCTAAGTGAAACAACCCATGACCATGTTAAATTAAATACAAGTGTTTGGCATGTAGCTGTTTGATTACCTAAAAGAACAGAAAGAAGGAAATCAGGATTCCATGCAGCATATAAAGTAGATTCAGTCAATACTTCAGCAGTCTTAACTGTTGGAAGATAAATACTCTTCTCTTGAAGTGATGAAGCAATAAGTCTTCTTGTAATACCCCATCTTGCACCTGGATAATATGCTCTACTTACTGCACTAGAATATGAACTCACTTGATATGGTCCAGGTACAATTGGTACATTAGTTATATTCTGTCCTCCTTCTGGATTGGTTACTACATTAGCAGTAGCTTTATCAATACCATTTCTATCCCATGCAGTAATAACATTAGGGAAAG